TTTTTTTTTTTTTTTTTTTTTTTTTTTTTTTTTTTTTTTTTTTTTTTTTTAGCTGTTTCCCATATTTCTCTCACACTTTTTCTCTTTTCTTATTATTTTAAATATTTTTCTCTTTAATCAGCTTAGTTATTTATCATTAAACTTTAAAAAAAATGATAGTAGACATTTTATATTTTGTGTCGTGATTTAAAAAAACATTGAAATTGATTAAAAAAAAATAAAAAGTTATTTAAAATTTATGGACATATTAAAATAAGGGTTTTTATTTTTATTTTTATTTTGTTGGTTTCGTGCACCCCATAAGGATAACGAGGGGATTTGAATTATGAAATAAGACAATATTCTTTTATATATTTTATTATTTATTTGTAATTAAGAAAATCATAAAATATAATTATGGGGCCATTGGAGTTGGGTGAACTGGAATTGGGGTGTGGGGGGGCATTGGGCACTCCATTTGACAGCTGCTTTTAATGCTTAGGTGTGGTTGATGGTTGTTGGAGGCACGTCTTGGCCTTCGCTTCAACACAATCGCCTCTCCCTTTCAAACAGACCCATTTCCTCTTTTATCCAACTCTTTTCTACTCCTTTCATTTCAATCTTTACTTTTTTTTTTCCCCCTTTTTGCCCTTTTCCGATTAAATTCTAATTTGAGCGTAGCTAGCTGATTTAGACATCTATCGAATAACGATCGTAATAAAAAGTTGGAGGCAAATGGACAATAAACTTATATCATATGCACACTAGCTTAGAGAAAAGGGACTGAGAGGTAGGCTAAGTTACGTTCATTTGGTTACGAGTTATATTGTATAATAATACCAAATAATTTCAAAATATTCTCTAGTATTTGCCACTTAAATTTACATTCTATGATCATCACACTTCTCACTTTACACTTCATCAATAATGTGAATTTACTTCGAAATTTTAAGGATCGGTCGTGATAAACTTGCACTAAATAATTTTCATTCGCCAACGCAACAATATAACAGCCCATTTATAACTAGGGACCTGTTTGATGCGATAATTAGGCCGACTAAGCCCATAGTCTAGATGTTATTGGGTCGAAATCCCAAGCCCAAAAATAATAAAGAGATTTGACATAGAACACAACACAGAATGAAATATATTTAGATCAGAGGCAGAATACAAACTACATCCCATTAAACGACAGCGGTTCTTTTTGAAATGTAGGCTCGAAGAAGCCCTGAAATGAACTAACCGTAATTGAGGCGAAATATGTCGTTCTGAATGCAAAGGTTGCCCTGTGCCGTGGGTACCAAGTGAAACATCTGCAAGCAATATTCTTTAATTTCATTAAAAACTACGAGCATAGCTCAACTTTTCGATTAAAAAGTTGGAAAGTTGAATGTTTGAATCCTTCCGATCAAAATATTACTTCAAAACTTATGAAAAACTAAGTTTTAAGAGTAAAAGTTGATGGGTAAGCATGAACCTGGCTGAATCTGAGATGGTGTTCTTCTTCGGGCAGCTCGAGACTGCCGCTGACGAAGATGAGGATGGAGCCGGGGACGGCGGAGGGCTGCGTGTCGACAGTGCTGACGACATGCCGGCAACGTTCGAATGGCAGCTGCTGAAGCCTGGAGGAGATGTCATGAACGCCTAATATCTGTTGCCCCTCGAAAGTGAGCATGGAGTCGGGCTGGTACAAAGTGGAAAGGGATGGTCTTTCATTGTCGAACAGTTGGTAATAATGTTCCACAAACGCCTTCCCCACTATATCAGCCTCTTCTTCCATCTCTTACTCTGCAACAAAAACAGGGGCTTGTAACTCAAAACCCTTTTATTCTCTGCTGATTAAATAATGCTCTGTTTTTTCAAGGGCATGGAGGAGGGGGGACAATTACTGGCATGCCCTTGGGATCTGCTTGGCCAGTGAAAGGGAAGGTGGGTAAAGGAGACATTTGGGTGGGGTGGATGAAAATAGGGAATAATCCAAATCGCTGTATTTGTACGCAAACAGAGGAATAAAGGAGATGGTAAAAGAAGAATAAAGAGTATCAAACTTTTCCAGGCCTTTCGGCTCTGCAATTTTATTCTTTGCTTACACCAATTAAACCCCATTTTAACACTAATTTCCTCTACAAAGTTTGTTATTTGACTATGAATGCACAATGTTGGGATTTCATTTGAAGGAGAGAGCTTTCTCTCGCTATCACCTAAAGGAATATGATGTGTTAAATTCAATTTCATCCATATCCATCTTCAAATACATGACAAAGTTATCCTTTATGACACCAAAAAACCTTTCTAGAAAATTATGGATAAATGCATACTATTCCTCCTTAATACAAATTTAAGTCTATACATGTAATATTCTAGGCACATTTGATCGAAAAAGTATTTAAGGAGGCTGACATAATATATAGTTGAAAATTCGACATTGTAAGACTAAAATAACTTTCTACTATCAAATAATTCCTCCTATATGTAGTGCAAGAAAGATATGTCAGATGCACTGCTCTATCTGAAAAGAGCTTTTCCTCGTGGAGAAAGAAAAAAAACATCATATGTAAAGGTTAGATTAGAGGAGATGGTTCAAATTCGGATCACTATAGACCGAATACATAATCTAATCTGGCCGATCAAGACCCTATTGATGAATGAAAGAAAGGGTTTATGAGTCTGACTTTTGTGTTGGGAAGTACACTCTTGCTTCCATTGCTGCTATTGAAGTTGGAGCCGTCGATGTGGTTGTTTAGGTTAGATATCTGGAACTAGTGGGTATCCAGGATGAATTCTCTCATTCACCAAAGAAGCATCTTGACCTTGGTTTGGCCCAATAATATTAATGCATGAAATAATATAAGGCCCAAACTAGCAATACAAAACAAGAAATAGGCTTCCTAACTATGAGATAGTAGAAATAGAGGGGAAAATGCTAGAATCTAGATATTGTTCCTAGATAGGCATCTCCATCTTCCACCGACAACCTCCTGTCCTTCACACATGACTCCCGCTTCTTTTGCCACCCAATCTCCTCCTCTATTTGCTGTTCAATTATGTTGGGTACTGATAAATAGATGAATTAACCAACCCATCATTTCAACTTCATTAATATTTTATTCAATTCCATTGAAGACAGCCAAAACGACCCATTTTTCCTTTCCAGAAAAGACAGGAGGAGTTTCACTGTTACCAATCCTATTTAGTCCAATGAATGAGAGAGATGGAACCTCCAATTTCATCAAGTAAACCCTTTAACCGCTAATTATGTGAAGGAATCATATTCCTAAATAGCTTTGATCTATCAAAGAAAAAGACCTGAAAAGGAGGAATAAAGACAAGACTATTGAGAAATGGAGATGCGAATCGCCGAACCCATCGGTCATCGCATCAGTCCAGACAGAAACCAGAGCTCAATGAAAGGGACTTCAAAAAAGGTGGAGCCTTCTTCACCGCTTTCAAAGCTCCATACACCGTCTGATTAGGCTCCACTTAAAACCATATTATTAAACAAATACAGTATTCATTGAGTTCTCTTCCGCATGTGATCTCAATAACAAAACCAGGAAATAGATTAGATTAGATCAGATCTAATGAATCATAGAACCCATTTGATGATTGTGAAAATAACTGGTCATGTTCTTGAAGAAGACATCCCCATTGGATGGCAGCCTGTCTGCACCTCTCTGTTCCCTAAGCATTATTTTACTCACCTGCAGCAATTCCTCTAAACTCCATTACTACCCTTGTCGGCTTTGCCTCTCCCTTCTTTTATAATAAGCTTCTTCTGGGCATTTTGGTCATCTTTGGACTGCCAACTGCATTTTTAACATTAAATTCGCTTGAAATTGCAATGAAATTCATTGCAACTTATTTGGGTCTACAGATCAATTATCAACCCAGACCAATGATTTCAATTATTTATGCTCATTTCTTCTGAGTTGCATCTGAGAAACTCCATTTCTCATTTCTCAGCTTCAGGAGCCCCATGTCCAAGATGGAGATGAACAGGGTTTCTCCAATACGCATCCTTGTTTTCATAGCTGCACTCTTGGCTGCTTCTTCCTCTTCTTCTTCATCTGCTGATGATTCGAAAGTGACTTTCGCAGATATGTTCGAAATGTCTTGCCCCGATGACCATTTTAAAACCTCTGAAGATGGCCAGATCTGGCATTTGTCCCTTGACAAAGATGCAGGTACTTATTGAAAGGCAATGGACATCCAAGTCGCTTCCCAATCAAAGCTTTGTTTTTCTAATTTCTAATGAAGTAATCTTCTCTATACTTTTTCTGTTTCCACCGACGAAAACAGGGTGTGGGTTTCAGACAAAGGAGCGATATAGATTTGGTTGGTTCAGCATGAAACTGAAGTTAGTCGGAGGTGACTCTGCCGGAGTTGTCACAGCTTATTACGTAGGTTCTTAAACATCTCTTATCTAGCATAGACTTAAAGCTAAAGTTGATCTTTCTTTTCAGCTATGGCTAAGAACTGAAATTCTTTTGCAGATGTGCACAGAGAATGGGGCTGGACCGGAGAGAGATGAGCTAGATTTCGAGTTCTTGGGGAACAGGAGTGGGCAGCCATATCTGATTCAGACGAATGTGTACAAGAACGGGACTGGGAACCGCGAGATGAGGCACATGCTGTGGTTCGACCCCACGAAAGACTTCCATACCTATTCCATTCTCTGGAACAGCCACAGGATTGTGTAAGTTCTACTGTAAACTCAAGATCTATTAAAATTTAAAGGATCATCCTAAAAGGACACTGGTTATACTAATTTAGTCATCGTCCACCAGGACAATTTGGACACAAGAAATTCACTCTTGTGGGCCATTTGTTCTCACAGTCATTTAATCAAACACCTAGTGGGTGGAGTGGATGAAACTACGTAAAACGTTTCCCCATTAGGTAGAAGATCGTAGTTTCAGATAAATTGTGATTAAGGACTCAATTTCCAAATCCAGATATAAAAAATGAAACAAGAAAAATAAGTAGTCAAGCAGAATTTACCTTCATTTTCTTTGCAGGAAGAAACCCAAATGATTTAGCTCTTCCATTGGAATATTGGAACAGGTTTTATGTGGACAGAGTGCCAATAAGGGTGTACATGAACTCAGATAAACCGAACAACTTCTTCCCGAACGAGAAGCCCATGTATCTGTTCTCGAGCATCTGGAATGCAGATGATTGGGCGACCAGAGGCGGACTGGAGAAGACGAACTGGACAAAGGCGCCATTTGTATCCTCGTACAAGGACTTCAGCGTAGATGCGTGTGAATGGGAAGACCCATATCCCAAATGCGTATCGACGACGACAGAGAACTGGTGGGATCAATACGAAGCTTGGCATCAATCGGAATCTCAGAAAATGGACTACGCTTGGGTTCAGAGGAACCTTGTAATCTACGACTATTGCAAGGATACGGAGAGGTTCCCCACTTTGCCTTGGGAGTGTTCTTTAAGTCCATGGGATTGAGATTACAGAACTCGAAGTTTTGATTACTTTTCGGCCCCGTATAAATATTTTGCTTGATCTTATTAGCTCCTTCATTAATTCAATTATTGTATGATTGCCAGATTTCTTCTGGCATTTGGGAATGCGTATGTTAGATTCAAATATGTCCCAAGAAATCACATGATTATTTATCCATCAAAGATTATGTCAATGAGGATTCATTTTTGCCATGGTTGATTGAGTCATTTCATTTAGTTTCCAAGGAAAGGCCACTCAGAAATATGAAGAATTAAGCCCCAGTTAGGCTGTGACACGGTAAGGAATTAAGCCCCATATATATAGTTAGGCTGAGACCTAAGAATCATCTCTCGCCCCAAAGGTTTCTTTTCGAAATGCTCAATAGTAATTAGTCCATTTTTGGAAGGAGAAATGATTCCAATTTATTTCTGTAATACTCTCCCCAGATTGTGATCTGGAGAGGACACTTAACCAACATACTCGAAAAATAAAGACACATAAGAAGTACCCACATTCAATTACATGGTCGGCCGGAACAAGGCCGCCACCACCACACAAACACATTTTCAGAACTTAGAATCCACCACGGAGACGGAGGACAAGATGAAGGGTGGACTCCTTCTGGATGTTGTAATCAGCAAGAGTCCTTCCATCCTCCAGCTGCTTCCCGGCGAAGATCAACCTCTGCTGGTCTGGGGGGATTCCTTCCTTATCTTGAATCTTGGCCTTAACGTTGTCAATGGTGTCGGAGCTCTCAACCTCAAGGGTGATGGTCTTCCCAGTCAAAGTCTTAACGAAGATCTGCATACCACCACGGAGACGCAGGACAAGATGGAGAGTGGATTCCTTCTGGATGTTGTAATCCGCAAGAGTTCGGCCATCCTCCAATTGTTTTCCAGCGAAGATGAGCCTTTGCTGGTCTGGGGGGATACCTTCCTTGTCCTGAATCTTGGCCTTCACGTTGTCAATCGTGTCTGAAGACTCTACCTCCAAGGTAATGGTCTTTCCGGTGAGAGTTTTAACGAAAATTTGCATGCCACCACGCAGACGTAGGACAAGATGGAGGGTGGATTCCTTCTGGATGTTGTAGTCGGCAAGGGTTCGGCCATCTTCCAACTGCTTCCCGGCGAAGATCAACCTCTGCTGGTCTGGAGGGATGCCTTCCTTGTCCTGGATCTTGGCCTTGACGTTATCAATGGTGTCGGAAGACTCCACCTCAAGGGTGATGGTCTTTCCTGTAAGGGTCTTGACGAAGATTTGCATGCCACCACGGAGCCGGAGCACGAGGTGGAGGGTGGATTCCTTCTGAATGTTGTAGTCGGCAAGGGTTCGGCCATCTTCCAACTGCTTTCCGGCAAAGATCAACCTCTGCTGGTCTGGAGGGATACCTTCCTTGTCCTGGATCTTGGCCTTGACGTTGTCGATGGTGTCGGAAGACTCCACCTCGAGGGTGATAGTCTTTCCTGTGAGGGTCTTGACGAAGATTTGCATCTAAACAAAACGAAACAGAGAGAGCATGCTCAATTTCATCACAATCTCAACACGCTTAACACGAAGCGAAATTCGATTTCATCACATAAAGTTGAAACCCTAAATTCGATTTCAATAAATTCAGAAGAATCCGATATTATTCCCAGCCAATCTCATAAAAATTCAGCAAACTTCAAAGACAGACATATATCAATCATAAAATTTCATTTGATCCAAGCGGATCAAACCACAAGGCGTAAGATCCCCTGCAAGGGTTTCTAAAATTCCCAAATCAGAGAGAAAAAGAAAAATCCCAGACAAAAATATAATTCCAAAACCCTAAACAATCCATTTCTCGAAACGGAACAACAAGATCAAAGCAGTAACAAAAAAGAAAAGAGAAGGCAGAAAGAATACCTTTAGAAGAATTCGGAAAGGATTGAACGATCGAAAAAGAGAAGTTAAGAGAAGAGAAATTCAATTACAATGAATCCAATGGGTGGAGAGCTGAATTTATAGGAGAAGAGAAGGACAATTTCGTAATGGGAGATAATGAATTATCCATTACGTTTCCGCCACGTATTGCTGTTATTATCCGTTACCTATCGTCAAAGGTAGAAATAGAAATTGAGAAGCAACATGCCGACGTCATTAAAACACCAATAACGTCCGTTATAACGGAGTTAGGCTCCTTTATTTAAGAAAATTCTAGGCGTTACGCGTCTTTGCGTGGATTGGAATATATTCTTCTTCCCCCTACTTTGAATATTGCAAAATTATTGGTAAAATTACAAATTTACCCTCCAGATGATGGAAGAAAGAGTTTTTGTTACTATAAATAAAATAAAATAAAATAAAATGAATGAATATTGTGAATTAGTTGAGGAAGTCGGCAATCAGCAAGATTGGGGGCGGCGGACAAATTGAGCGTTCCACTTGACCGAAAAGTGTTGGGCCATACCCACCCCACCATCGCAACTAGCCGACTCTACTAGACCCACAAACTTTATTAAGCACAATGTCCTATCATAATTCAAATCCAATATCAAAATATCTGGGAATATCACCATCTTCCCATTATTCATTCTACAGCTGAGCCTCCAACATGTATCTGCAAGAAAAATTATACAAGTTTCGATCAAATTAACGAGAATGATAATTGATGTTTTATCCTTATAGTCTCTATTTCTAATTCGACTAGACAATTCAAACTAATTCAGAAAATTCAAACGCGGTTTTATTTAAATTTCTCTGTAGAAGAAGGAGAAGTCAACTTTAGTTTTCCAAATAGGAGAGAAAGAAAAGTGTGTACTCTGATCAAGATCTGTTATTTCTATAGTTGAATAGTCAGCCGTATATTTAACTCATGGCATGAAATAATAAAATGCACAGTAATAATTTCAATCCACCTAGTACTAACTTGAGAACAGGAGATTCTTGACTGATACCCAGAGGGATAAAAAAAAAATTGATCCAAGTCGAAATTACCTTACCTCGTGTAAAGCAGGGGTCAAAATTGTGGCATCTTTCAACGACAGTCACAATGGAGGGGGCTCAACTGGTATAAACAGTTTCATCTTTGAGGCAATAATTGATTGCAGTAGCTTCTCTAACATTGTAACATGGTGGTTGAATTTCATCAGCCTATCTCCGGCGTTTCGACTCCTTTCGAATTTCAGACTGGTAGTTCTCCATATTGTGCTTCTTCCATAGACATCGCCGAATAAGGTCTTCTTTTGTTGATTCATCTGGTTTACAGAATTCAAGCAATCATAAATTAACGATTGTAGGTAGAAGAAAAGCATAGATTGACAATGGAAATCTGGCTGTTTAAGAGCAGTGAAGAGATGAGAAGGGGTCAAGGGAACAAAAATGGGACAAATATAGAGCTGCATTAAATTATTCAACAAGAAAATTAGCATAGCAATAATTATTTGCTCACCGATGTTTTTCCAAGCCTTCATAGGGACTCTAAGTGAACTTTGCGTCAGGTAAGAGGCATCTTCCCAAGAGTAAGTAACTTGTTTTATATTGTATCTCCAAAACCAACAACTAGACCACAATAATAACTGAATCAAGGAAACACAAGAACAAATCCTTGAGGAATATGAGCTAAATGAATGGAGTCCCGCTCAGTAACACAAGGAAACAACGAAATTGAAAATCAAATGACCATAAAAATTTCCAAAACTCACGGGCACAAAATCTAACCTTGCCAATAGTGTAAGGTAGAAGAATAAGACGAACGCCAAGTAGTTCCCATACAGATGGCTTCTCAGCACCTGTTATTTGCAATTCCAGTTCTTTGTCAAGATCTTCGTCCACTTTTCTGACAAAACCACAAGAATAAATAAACAAATAAATAAAGATATGTTAGATTGAGAATCCAATTTGGAAAAAATGGAGAAACACAGAAGGAAGAAACGGTTGATAATAACTAATCAAAAGATTTTAGAATATGCTTAAAGATATGTTAAAGAAAGCTTAAAACTGAATAGAAGCCCATTAAATTTATGTATAAGAACAGCGTTGGGTAATTTGAACTGAAGTGTTCCCATAAACTTAAATAAAACCAACAATGGAAGTACTAAGGAAGAACTCCTTATGACCCCTCAATTTGCTTGACTAAGTGAACTTTACTCAAAAATTTTAATTTAATCACAGATTTTTTCTTGAACTTGAAAAGGTGATAGAATTAGTACTTCTTTAGAGTGAAGCTGGAAAGTTTTCAGAATTACAACAACTATATCACCCAAAGCAAATCCTCAAACAAAGCCACAAAATCATGCAGCACTAAAAACTTTAACCCAATGAAAACGTATATCCAACATAACCACAAAAATCCATCAATAAAAATAACCTTCCTCAGTCACAAGGATACTCGAATAGAGGTACAAATCTCAAAAAAAAAAAAAAAAAAAAAAAAAAAAACCCCAAGGAAAGGTACTAATTTCTTCTTCTATTTAAGTTCAAGGTTCAAGTCAATTAAAATTAAGAAAAGGTACTAATTTCTTCTATTCAAATTCAATTTGGTTCTTTAAGCTAGACACAAGGTAAAAAAAGAACTTTTCCAGAAAAAGCGACATTTATTGTTTTTTCCCCTTAATTATTCTGGTAAATAACGAACAACAACATACTTATCCAACTGCTTGTGACCTTTCTTCTTGTTTGTTGCTCCTCCACTTCGTTCAAATTCAAGAGCCCGTAATCTATTTTTGTAAGCAGGGGTTTTCTTGACCATGTCAACAGCCTATAGCATGAAGTAAGCGATTCAGTACAATGCAATCGACATCTATTTGTAGATTCAGACAACAAAATATGAATTAACTATAAAAAAAGTTCCCAAGATCAGGTTGGAACAAATTTACACATAAACTTCATGTGACCTGAGAAAAGTTAATCAGGCCATCCATCAAACAATTTCACCTAACAACCGTCACACTTTTTCAAGGTGGAATAACTTAGAGCTACTAGTACCTGATGATATCTTGTCCACTGATTCAGATATTGAAATGCAGATAAAATCAAGAGAAGGCCAACCAGCACAGCACGAGTATCCTAAAATGAGAGCAGAAAACCAAAACAACTACTAAAACCAACGAAAAGTGATAAATAAACTTAACCTAGTTATAAACCACACATTCTGTAAGCATAAGACAAATACAAAAATCCTTACCGTCTTATGACCATAATATGCATGATAGTACCGAGCTGCGTTGTAAAATACCTATAAAACGAAGAAATCACAGTTTACTACATTAAAAAGTAGCCAGTGTCCATCAGCTAATTGGAAAATCGATGGCACAATCATAAATTGTTCTTTGCTGAGTTTCTTCTTTCCTTATAAAACAAGATGGTACAGTCGCATATGTTTCCTGTCATAAACGACTCAACCTTAATTTGCAACAGTAGCCCAAAGGCATACGTATTGAAAAGAAAGAGGCCATCCGTCCTAGGGGAAAGCTTTAGGTGGTAACATTCTGCAAATGTTAATAGTATTTTAGGTCTCTATCTGTGATGATTATCATAAAAAGTGGATTGTCCCTTGAATCTGGGTTAAAAGGGAATTTCTGTTCATGCATCAAACTAATCAAGAAATCTTAATGTGATCCTATTCTATTCTATAATTATCTTGTTCAATTTTAGCACTATCTTCACATTGTTCAAATGCCAAACCAAACGTCTGACTTATCACTCATGTTTGGAAAGCCTCCAGACAACCAATTTGTACTTGGGAAATGCAGTGCAATCACTCTACACCTGTTAAAGAGGTATCACATTGGTAGAGTAACAAAGAAAATTAGAACACATCCAAGAAATGAGCGTATTGCCACTTCTAGTAGAAGTGTAAACCAGAGAAAGAATCGACAAAACCATCAACCATGGCAATGGCATGGCAATGGCATGGCCACACTAGTATAGTAGAGGGTCTCAACTGCCACATGAGAAAAGATTGATAGTGAAAACTAATATTATTACGCATTAGCAGTGGACTTCAAATACTTAAAACTACCTCTTCCGGATGAGCGATTGCGTAATCATATTGTCCTCTCGTGGATTCATCTTTCAAAATCTGCAATTAACAGATAAGCTCACATGTTTAGGAAACGAAGATAATTAAAATCAAACAACAATACGTAAATGAAGGCATGTCGAATAAAATGGCATCTAGAATCTTAACGTTTCCGTACCTCATAAGCATTGGCAACCTTAACAAATTGCTTCTTTGATTCCGGATCCGGGTTCTTGTCTGGATGGCTTCATTGAACACCAGAAACAGAAATTCAAATGGAATGACATTGAATGACTAGACGAAATGGAATAGAAGAAGAAAAGAACGGACAATTTCAATGACAGTTTGTAGTAAGCTTTCTTGATCTCCGATTGGGTTGCACTCTGCGATACTCTGAAATGGCCAGTTGAAAACTAATTAGAGAGATCAAAACTAGGCATTAGTATTAACAACAATAATAGGGAAAATGAACCCCAATATACCCGAGGAGATCGTAGCAATCGTCTTCGTCGCAGTAGATGGCCACCGACGGTATGATCAACAGCAACATGACAATCATTGATACGATTGCGCGCCACCGTGTAGTTGCCGGTGGCGCCATCGTCTTTAGCCGTGTAAGCTTCAAATTTCGATTGCAATCCCGCTTCGAGTTTGACTAAGGACTTGGCGCAAATGAACCTGCCAATATTTCTGTTTGAAATTACAGAACGACCTTCCTGTTACAGTGGTAGCCAAGAAATGTGAACTGATCTGAGGTAGATGATGATCCAAGCGTTAAATTCTAGATCGAGGGACTGAAACTCTAGAGCAAATTATCGCAACGGAATGTCCGTTGGTTTGGAACCCATCATTCTATACCGTGTGATTTGCATAACGTCCCAAAACCATAAAACTTCTATGAACTAAAAAAACATGCTTTTTAGAAAATAGATTTTTTTTTTTTTTAGCTAAATTATATAAAATACACTTCCTTTTCTTCTATTTCCAAACCTTTCCAAACATTTATTAATGTTTTTAATTTCACATTCTATTCTCCTTTATTTATTCTCTCTAACTGGGATCTCACTATTATGTTTTTAAAATTAAATCATAATATATTTATTATTTAAGAAGAAAATTTAAGGAGGGTTTGGAGGTGCGTGTGAAAGAAGAAAACAAATAGACCAGCCATTGGCATAGCTGTGTTGGTAGGACATGCAGGTACGATACCATTACTTTTGCAACACCCAGGGTACCACAACAACCCAAACCCCTTTCCCTTTCTTCTTCTTTTCTTTTTTCTATTCCATTTTCATCTGTTAATAACTTTTCAATCCTTATAAGATAGAGATTTTCACACCGTTCTAACAAATAATTCATTTTCCACATCGGTTCTACCGTCTAAATGCCTCCAAATAGTTAAATTATAGAAACATATTATTTATAGCTTAGTCAACCGTTATACATAATAAAACTATATATAATAAATGACATATAAACTAAATTGTAGTAAACAGTAGTAAAAACTTTTAGTCAATATTCTCCTTCCTATACAAATGAGTTTAATATAAGGTCATGGTCAAACATTGAGGCCATTAAAGAATGGGAGATATTTTGGGAACCCTTTCCTTTTTCTTTTTCTTTTTTCTTTTAAATATTTTGAGAGAGAGTCCAATGAGTGGCAAAGATACTGAGGGTGGTCCTGTTCCCCCTCCCCTCCCTTTCCTTTCCAAAGCCCTTTCATTATCACCTAAACAACCCACATGGCTTGCATATCCCTTTCAAAGTCCCTCCTTCTATACTCAACATACTCAACGTCTATTATAATTAATAATCAACCTGTAATGACCCAAAAAAAAAAAAAAAAAAAAAAAAAAAAAAAAAAAAAAAAAAAAAAAAAAAAAAAAAA